TCCTGGACCATGCAAAGAGCCGGGAGGGCTGGGGAGACACATACCTGTAGACAGAAAGCCGGGATGGAGGAGCCAGGCACGGGCTCTGCTGCCGTGCGGGAGGGGAGGCCTGCCAAGTGGCGTCCAGGTGGACCACCCAGGGCATGTGAGCAAGGCATGGGGGCATTTTTCATGGCTGCTATGAACACACATCTCTCCCTACAGCATGGTTTAAATCACCTTGACAGGAAAACCTCAAACTTAGATCTGGGCTGGAGATGCTTTGTTTTTCTTGTTAATTGATTCTCTTGCTTTTGGCTAGTGGTTAGAAAGATTTCCACAATTGCAGCTAAACAGCTTGTGAGAAGCTCCTAGAAGACATCTTAAGTTGTCTACAGAAGTGGAGCAAGTTAAAGGAGACATAATTACTCAGGGAGGAGGATTCTAGACTAGTGATGGCACATTTTCAGTAAGAGAGAGTCATGTAAGTGTTAAAGGCAGTGAAATAACTACTGTAATGTAGGTACAGCAAGCCGAAGGGAGAATCATAATTAATAGTACCTGGAACTGTGATTGCGTGCTGCCTGGTGTTTCCTGGGGGAGCAGGGAGTGTGGTGATGTCCCTCCTGGCCTGGGGCCTGTCAGAGCAGTTCTTGGTACTGAGCTCAGTACTGGAGGGACTCCCATAGGAGCCTGTTCTGTTGCACAGATTGGTAAGAAGCTTACCCATCTTTCTGGCACATGGACATGTGCATTTGAACTAACATGTATCCATTTGGTGATACTGAAATGCATTTTGTGTTTCCCTGGGGTTCTCATGAACCACTGCCTGAACATTTAAGCAAGGCGTGCTTCTGAGGCCAAGCTGACAAAATTGGGAAAGAAAACAGCTTTCACTTAGGAGGACCTTTTCCTTTGGTCGCCTGAACAATTGATTCACCTGAGTGCCTGCTGGTGAAAGCTCCCTGTCCTATCTGTCAGCATTGCCTTCACCTTTGGGCTGTGGCCCCAGGACTGGCCACACAGACTCTTTTCTTGAGCCAGACTGAGGTTGCTGAAGTGTGACTCAGACTGGAGGTTAGGTCCAGGCAGAGGAGATGGTTGTTTCTCGTCTGGTTTCTCCTTGGGTGGAGGAAGTTCCCCTCCTAATTTTGTTCCAATGTCACCATTCATGACTTTTTTCCCAGCTGCTCTCCCATGTTCCCCAAGTTTGGGTCCCGGGACCTCCTCATCCCGGGTTTCCCCCCTCCCAGGTTCACTCACTTTATAGCTTCTCTGCAGAGGACTGCAGAGTCTTAGCCCTGGCCTCTTTCCTGGGAACAGAATCTAGACATCCACCTGTCTGTCAGTTATTGTCATCTCCAGGGCAAGGTTTCTGACATCGGATTCATGGCTCATTCTGCTGCTCACACTTATAAACAACCTGGCTCCTGACGAGTACGCCTGTCATAAAAGTCAAGTCCCCTGTGCATCTGTCGTCAACCTTATGGTCCACATACCCTCTGGGCCCTCTCTTCCTGTCTCTTCCCACTGTCGGGTTCCCCTCCTACTGGCTGGACTCCCGCCCTGGCTTCCATCCCAACTGGTGTCCCAAGATTCTTTACAGCGCTGAACTGACTCTGTTAACCTCACAACTCTGCCGTGTAGCTACTAGAAAATTCCCCAGGGCTTCCCTCTTCCCTGTTAAGTGAGGCATACCCATTCCTCCTCCTGGAATGAAGGCTATTTCAAGATGGGACTTCTTTAGGGAGAGTGTGTCATTCTCTGCTCACATCCTGTTTGAGGCATGAGTATAATCTTGTTTTTTCAATCTCGGGTCTTTCTGGATAGCCTGCTCCTTGGCACGGCCCAGCTCATGCTCTTCTCCTCCTGTCGCATCCCAAACCTTCAAGACTAACATCAATTGCCACCGCCTGCCTCCCCACCTTGCTGAGCCCTCATCATACTCTGAGGCACCGTTTGTATCATCTGCACAGAAAGATACTTGGATCTGACCTTGTGAGTTCACTGTAGGCTACTTGAGTCCCTGGGAGAGGCCTTTGGGCCTAGATGCTGGCTATGCCTCCTAAACTGCCTGTGGGCCAATGCTGACCATCTGCTCCGTGGCCCTGGGTCCCAGCCCAGCAGGCCCACCACAGCCTTGCTCTTTCTTCCACTTTTAAAATCAGACACAGGCAATAGATTTGACACAGAAAGAACTACCCTGCTTCCTCAACCCCAACTGATTTTATATTTTGTTGGAGGCAAAAGGAAATATCCAAGGTTCAGCTCAACACCAATTTGGAAGTATTTCTGCCCGTTGGAAAAGAAATCTTTGAAAAAGACATTTGGCTTCTTTTTTTTTTTTTTTTTCACTTGGGAAAAATTTGAAAGGTATAGCCTTTCAAGGAAACAGGATACTTTAAAAAAGAAAAAAAAAAACACAAAACAAAACAAAACCCAGCCTGGCTTCACACAGTGGAATCCTGTCAAGCCGACCTAATCTTCTGTGACAGGGCAGCAGACCTGGTAGATCAAGGGGCAAAACAATGGTTGGAATTCATCCTTGCTGGCTTCATGATTCCTGGGTCCCACTCAATATGATTATCATTAAGCTGGTTGAAAGGGTCTGTGTGTGTGTGTGTGTGTGCGCGCATGTGTGTGTTAGCGAGTGGAGTGTGGAGGGGAGAGAGAAAGAGGGAGGCCGCACTCTCATGAGCCAGTTCTAGCTGGGGGACAGATGTAGTCTAACTAGGGGTCAGCCTTGAGCCCACTGGCTCTGGACATTCACCTGACTGGGCCAGATGACAGCAAAGAGAACATATTCAAAGCCAGCGTGAATGTTAAGGTGGGGGGGGTGCGGGTGTAGATGAATAATCATCAAGAACAGCAACCCTGGCAATTAAGTGAGCAACAGCAGTACAGAGGCTTGACGGGAAGAGAGCTCATGTTCGGGGGGAACAGCAGTCACCAGTGCTGCATTATATACTGAGACTGTGATGCTGAGATGAGTGACTACAACATGGTGGCGGCCTGGACTCCTAACCTTGTGTTAACTGTCTCCCCTTTCCAACTCCACAGCCAGAGAATCTGGACAACGTTCAAAGGAGAGCCACAGATGTAATTAAACTAGGTTGGGGCATGGACATTGAAGGCTTCTACAAAACAAGTTAAATGAATTACGTTTACTGAACTCAGAAATGGACAACCTTACAAGGGCAGTAACAAGCAAAAATAGAAATAGGTTTAAATTACCAACACATGAAAATAAAATTAAACACAAGGAAGGAGTTTCCTTAGTCTTGGGATGGATAAATCCCAAGATTTAAGTCTTGGGTCACTAAAGCAGAACAGATTTCTCTAGGCTGGTTTGAGTGTGCTTGGGGCTAACTCAGGCAGACCTGAATCACCTCGGAGATATGTCTCTGCCCACACTGCTGTAAGACTTTTAAAGTACTTTTTAAAATTCAAAATGGAAGATGAAGAAGCAGCCAGTGCCTCAGTTGTTTCAGTGGCCTCAGGCTTGGTCATCCCTGATAAAGAAAAATTCAAACATAACGTGAAGCTGTTCCTCATAAAGACCAGCAATGGGCCAGCGGCTGTGAGCCAGGACGTTCCCGTACGTGACTGCAGATTTGATCCACACTGCAGCCGCACACACAGGGCGTGGGTTTCTTTCTATTTTCCCACTTTAGCATAAACAAACGCCTGATAAAGGGTGGGTGTAGTCTAGGCAAGTCTGAGTGTCTGGTGTCCTAAGCTGTCAGTGTTGAGTCTAGAACACTGTCCTGTTCAAGCACTTCTCTTTCAAGAGTGATGTGGCACAGAGAAGAAAATAATAAAGTTTTCCCTTCAACACTGCTGATAACTAATAAATCACAAACTCAGTTGTATGTAAGTTAATTCTTTAAATTTAATCAGTCTTTTATAAAACTTCCCAATTAATTAGTAAAAGATGGCTTATTTTAATAGCCTTAAACATTGGTCACTATTTAAACAAGACATTCTAAAAAAAGCAATCACATAATAGTTTATAGTCATTTACAAGTGGATGGTATACATTTAGATACAGAGGTAGAAGTTCACCTTTACGTTTCACTAATACACATTTACCAAATTCAAGGCACAAAATAGTTTGCTTTACAAAAAAATACTGTAAAAATGTCATTTGCTGTTGTACAAGGTGAATAAAACTTTCAAAAGAATCTTTACACCCTTCCATATGTACTCCATGGTATAAGATTTTCTCCCCTCACTAATCATAGTTGGCACAAAAATGGAGATTTTTTTAAGTTCAGAAGTTCCCATTTTTAGAAATGCTTTCTTTGCAGAGCTGCTATGTATCCTAGATAAAAGTCCACCCAAAGAAATGAAACAGCAATTTCCCAAGGAAAGGGCACTTTCTGTACGCAGCAAAACTCAAAGGTAGAAAATGCATGATCTTGTTTTGGATAACTAGGTCTCCAGAATAACCAATACTTAAGGAAAGATTCAGAGGCAAATTTTAAATATTTGGCTAACACCTTAGTCATTATGACTTTCAAAAAGAGACCTGATCACCTTACTCTAACAATCGAACATCATTTAATTCAAACTGATGGAGATTTCAAAATTCCATTTCAAAAGAGCTATACACACAAATATCACGAAAGAGCCACAGAGACTTTGAAAAACTGAAACAGAAAACATGAAAAAACAGAGCATTATCAGTCCTTGAAGTTGCAAGGGTGTCAACTTGGCTAGAGTTTAATGACAAGAATTAATTAACTCTATGGGAATTAAGAAAAGCCGCACATGTGAAACACACTGTAGTTATCATCTCCAGGCTTTCTGCTCATTAAAAAAAATAATGGTCGTCTGGAGACAGCACACAGTGCTTGTCTAAAAGAAAAGACTGGTCTTAGGGTTCTGCCTAAAAAGGACCCCGCTGGCAACAACATGACCTCACTTTTGCTGATCACATTTTCCAAGTACTCTAGTCGGTAAATTTACACTTTATTTTATTTTATTATTTTATTTTCTTTTTTTATTTAAAAAAGCTGATTTAAAAAAGTCAACACGGATTTAGAATCCAGAGAATGTCAGTAATGCTGATGTGCACTGAACTGAAACATCCTGATCGTCTTCTGAGAGAAATGATGTTCCACACAAAAAAGATTCTTAGATTCCATTTTTTGCTTCATTATTGTTTGTGGCTTGTTTTCTTTGAGCAATAAAAGGGTACATACACTTGTCCGCTCCTAGGAACCGATACATGCACACAACTGCTTCAAAAGGGAGGATGCTGAAAAGGAAAGCAACAGTGGTTAGCTAATGTGAGATGTTAATTAAATTACGGGGGTGGATATGGGAAGACCGGACCCAAGGGGGACCCCTCAGTTACCTCTTCATGAAAGTCACGATGTACATGAGGCGCGGGGTGCAGATCATGGGCTGGTCGGTGAGGATGGCCCTCATGGCTTGCTGTACACAGTAATCGGGCTTCAGAGGGGGCAGAAAAGGCTCAATTTCTTTCCTGGAAGTTATATAATTAAAAAATGCAATTAAGAATGAACACAAACTAGGCAAGACTGAAAACACATATTGGAACATTAACAGTGATGTTACTTGAGTGACAAAGGTTTTGGGTCCACTTTGTTTACTTCACTGTGCTTTTCTGTATTTTCTAAATTTTTCTACTGTGAATGGACCTAGCCCAGAAAACAAGTTAAAGAAAAAAGGCAAAATTGGTCTGCTTTTCTGCAAGGAGTCAAGTTTTAAAAATGCCTCAAAAGGTATTTCAACTTACTTTTTTTTCCTTTCAACATAAAAAGAAAAGGGTGTTTGGCATAACAAACACTAAACCCAACCAAGATGCCAAACTTTTAGTATTCAGTGTGGTTCAAATAATGGTGTGAAAACACTGGCATAGCCTTTCTGAGCGAAGTAAAAGTCAGCTACATGCTTTACCGGGTGCCAGAATAGGGAGAAGCCAAGGTATTTTCTCTAGGGCTCTGACGTGAAGTGCATGGAGACATCTACCTTCAGCTGAATTCAGTAAGTTACATGTTGCAATAGCCTAATTTATACCTTTTACTTTTCTTTGTCCCGCTATGGCTTTGGACACTGGCTGTAACACTAAATAGGAAACAGAGCTCCTCAGACCCCAGCAACTGATTCACACACACACACACACACACAGAGGAAAGGAGTCAGGCCGACAGTGCAATGACTCAAATCCCCTTCCACCTATTTCACTGCTTGGTCAGGTTCAGGAGGTGACCAACAGGGAATTGGTTCGGTTATCTTCCTTTGCCTTTCAAATTCATTCAAGCAAAGATTTTAAAGTAAGCATGTCTTCACAAGTACCTTCTTAATGATTCATGGAGTTGTTTATTTTGCTTAGCTCAAGTCAGATGTGATCTGACACTTATATCCCCATATGCCTCCTTTCAAAGTGGGTGGGTATTTCATTTCATGTCTAGTAAACTCAGTTGTTCCTTCTCATTCTGTCCGAGTGAATCTCGCTACATACACTCTTTGTAGAAAGGAAGCTCCCAAATTCAGAGTCTAACTCTTCTGTGACATTGACATTCCAACACTGGTATTAAAGAAATAAAGTATCTCCTAAAGAAGTGGCTCCTAAGGAAAACCCTGGGTATCTACGTTTTCTTCTTGAAGATGTACGGAAGCCATGTTATGTCTGATGTTTCTAGACTGACTTCTGCAAGGTGATACCAGTGTGGCGCCAGACCCTCGCTTGTTAATCCTTCTTACCTCAATTTTACAAAGCCTTTGGCCAACGAAAACTACAGGACGACTGTCAAATAACAGTCGAAGTGCAAGGCTGACTATGTTTGAGGATCCAATTTCACATATTCTCCGAATATGGAAAGGCGATTTTTAAAACAGCTCTTTATCAGTAATAATATATGTTCTCACCAACCTGATTCGGCAGCCTCTGAACATGCCTGTGTCTACCAGGTAAGGGCAAACCAACGTTGTTTTAATTCCATCCTTTTCAGCAGCCTTTAACTCGTGGCTCAGGGATTCATGGAAACCCACGACTCCAAATTTACTGGCGCAGTAATCCTGAGTTGAGGGAGAGAGGAGGGGAATGTGCTAAGTACATGCAGATACCAGACCGAACCCAGGCTTCCTCCCTGGCCTATTACTCTGGTTACATGTTTGCTACAAAAGGTTACAGGTGACTAAGCAAAGAAAAGGAAAGCGTTTTAAAAGACAGATATCTGATGTGGTTCAGTGCAGAAATAATATTTTCAAAGCAATAGCAAAAACAGATGAACACTTTTGCCACATCGACGACGTATCATATTACTTTGGGGAAGTTACCACAAAGGACTCTACAAAAGCCAATGGGCTAGAGTTAAAAATGGAGAGATTCACTTTGAAGTGTCTGGAAAATTTACAAATGGCCTCTTGTTCAGCAAAGGAAACTGAAAAACAGTTTGTTTAAATTAATGCTAGGAGAACAAAGGCGAGTCTAGCTTAGGTTATAAGTGGTTATGATCTGATTTTCTTTTTAGGATGAAGTACAAATGAAAATAACTTTACTTCGTGAACTTAAACTAGAACTTAACCTGCGGAAACATAGAATAATAAAGTTCTCCATTACCCAACTTTAAATTTAGCAATGACTGCAGAAGCTATCTATTATTCTGTCCCTTTGCACACTTTTTTCCTTTTGTGTATTTGTATGGGGTGATGCTTTCAATGTTAATGCTACAACCACCCACAGGACAAACAGCACGGAATAACACACATCCACATGCTTTATCATTTGAATACGGTGAAGAACAGGGTTTGACTGGGGCCAGTTCCACAAACTTACAGTGCATGCCCCCTCACATCTGCCACAACCATCTCACCTGATGAGCTGACACGAGATAATAGCTCACTTTTGGTAAGTTGACCAAAACGGAAGGTCAGCCCTGGCTGGTGTGGCTCAGTGGATTGACCTCTGGTCTGTGAACCAAAGGGTTCCAGGTTCAATTCCCAGTCAGGGCACATGCCTGGGTTGTGGGCCAGGTCCCCAGTAGAGGGTGCGCGAGAGGCAACCACACACTGATGTTTCTCTCCCTTTCCCTCTGTCTAAAAATAAAATAAAATCTTTAAAAAAAAAAAAAAAAAAAGAGGGTCAACCTTTCGCCTCATCTATCTGCTCCCTGTGGCACTGTTCTGGCTCTCTACGGCTTTGTTCTTGACCCTGGATCTTCCCATCATCACCAGTCAAACTGCTGGTGGGAATGGGGCACGCTGAGGACTGGCGCGGCACCTTCTCTCCCCGCTGCTATTAGGTCACACCAGACGGCCCCGGGCGCCCAGGCAGAAGGCTTTCAGGAACATCCGAGCAGCAGCTGCTCTCCTTAGGATTTAGGGGGGTCAGGAGATAGAGCAACTGAATGAAGGAAGTGCTTTGTAGCTGACAAACCTCAACTCCGGCAGTACTGAACAATCCCAAGGAACTTGCAACCGTCACAATATGACCGTGATTAATCTCCAGCATGGTAGGAAGAAAAGCCTTTGTGGTCTGAAAGAAAAGTGAGGTTCAGGCTTCAGAACTGACATTAAGAGTTTCATCGAGCCCTAGCTGGTGTGGCTTGGTGGGTTGAGCACTGGCCTGCGAACCCAAAGGTTGTAGTTTGAGTCCTGATCAGGGGACAATCCTTGGTTGTAGGCCAGGTCCCCAGTTGGGGGCAGGTGGGAGGCAACTAATCCATGTTTCTCTCCCTTTCTTTCTTCCTCCTTTTTAGAAATGAATAAATAAAATCTTTTAAAAAAACAGTTTCACCTAAAACCCAACCCAACATCACAGAACAAAATTTTGTATTTATCAAAAACAGAAGATCCTTCAAGCGTCTGGTTAAACTTGCACCCTGTCTGGCACGGCAGGCCTATTATCAGTCGTGACCAATGAGACTGTAACAGAAAGCGCTTTGAGGACAATGTCCAGATGAAAAGAAAACCATTAGTGTGAGGCTCTCTATCACCTTTTAAGGTATAGCTATCTGTTAACCCAAACGATCCCAGTCAGAGATCTTTTTATGCTCACGACTTGACTGTAGCTATCTTGTGGTCTGTGAGGAGCCTCCAGCCTCCCCACAGACAGAGTCTTGTATTAACGTTTTCCCAATAGTTACGTCAAAATAGTGATAAACCCATGAACGAAGGGATGTTCCTGCATCATATTCTAGCACACATAGAGCTTTATTGCCAAAGTGCACTAACAGAAGACATTCTAGTATAGTAAAAAAGCTGGGTAAAAGTACAGAATCACTTTAATGAAAACTGTGTCACAATGGTAACTCTGTATTGATAAAAACTTCTGAATGACCACACCCTACGATAGGGTGTGCTGGGGAGTGACTTTCCCAGAGGCAGGTGACCGGCCACTCAGTGTAACAGAGCTCAAGGACAAATTCCAGGGCAGTGGACTCCAGCAGCATGGATTTCTTACTCACAGCTCTGTTGCCTTCAGGATACAAGGCTGTATTTTTTTTTTAATTACTTCAAATTGCTTAAGATGATCTATGAACTACTCTACCAGGCTCCCAACAGTTTTATAACCTGCTTCTTAAAAGAAAGCAGCAAAGAGCAATCTGTCTACCGTTGAGTTATAGCCTATTGCCAACACAGCTTCCCATGATTTATGAAGTTAAAAAACTCAAACGCTATACAATGGACTTTAAGAATAGCTGCATTCCCTTCTCAGAGAGTTTCCTGTTAATGGGTCACTGAATTTTTGCAAAAACATCTAATGTGTTATGATAATTTTTGTATGTTCAGGATCAAAAAGTCATTCCATTAATCTGAAGTTTTTCCATGTTCCAATACATGACACATACAATTTGCCAAGTGAATCTTGGTGACACATCCTAAGGTCCTCCCTAGTCTGACTCCTGACCAGTATTAACACCCCTTGCCCCCCAACTTGGACCCCATTGGTCTGGGCCAGGGGTGTTACTGTTGTCACCTATGTCACGCTTATTCTCACCTGTTTTCCCCTTGACCTCTTCTCTTCTCTGACAATCTATCCCAAATGCCCTCCTATGTAATTCAAAGTATAATATTCATCACAGATTTACATAGCCTCTTATGCCTGAAAGTGTTCTTGTCACTGGAGATTCCCAATATTTCTCTATCAAAAGTAGTCAGGGTATTAAGTCTTTATCTAATTTTACTCTATTCACCTTGACTTTGTCCATATTTAAGACTTACATTTGGTAACATTCACTATAACATGTTTTATGGTAGTTTGATTTTAATTGTTTTCATATGTCTGGTTGCCCTGACTGGGCTGGAAGATACAGACTCTTTCAACTATTAAGGGAGAATTACTACACTGTGACCGGACTATGGAAAAAAGTGATCTGACTCCTCACATACCTCACAGACCCGCCACAGTGCTGCACAAACGAGAGATACATGTTTCAGCTTGATTTTACTTCTTTGTGGTAGTAAGCGGGAATGGTTAAGGTCATAACGATTTTGGTCTATCTGAGAGCCAAAAAAAGGCAAGTTGTGGTACTTGAGGTCATTACAGGTTCACCTTTAGGCTCTAGAGCTTACATATAGCCATTGTATCACAGAACTGAAATAAGGTAGCATCGCAAAGCAGCTTAGGTATTCCAATCTAAACTAGAAAACCTTAAGCAATCAAGTCCGTAAGTGTTCTTTTAAGTATCTAGTTATGATTGTCTCCAGATTAGTTAAAAAGTATAAAATTTATTCTTGATGTTATTCAGAAATCATTTTTAAGTATTAAAAGTTGCTTAGTTTTGAAAGATGAGTATATATTTAGAAGGGCCATACTGTGAAGTTCTTAAGTACAAGAACTCAGTGTTACATCGCAGGAAATTACACAGTGTAAAATACCAGTAACAACATGCTGCTTGGTGCCCTCACTGTGACCATCTGGTGGCTCACTCTAATGACTGCCCATACTCATGTGCCACAGCCTTGCTACCCACTTCTAAACAACTAATCCAGGCCCCAGCACCATATAGAAGTAGGTGACAGAAGATTAACACATTCCTAACAGTTTTTAAACTTTAATTTGTTGCCAAGTTTCTGAAACTGATGAATGTCTTCTCCCCTGAAATTAGTCTGGTAGAGTTAACTTATTTATTCAACAAGCATTTCTTGAACATCTGCTACATGCAGGTTCTGTATTCTGATCTAACCAGTAATAGGAAAATGACATCGGGTCCCCTTCCAGTCTCTATGCAGAATTTATACTCAGCAGCACTTAACTGTGTTAAATCAGAACATCAAATATAAAGCAGTTCTAGTTTATCCCTCACTAAAGCAGGGTCTTATGATTCATATTCAGTAAAAAAATGTCATTTGGCTCTCTTCCTCTTGCACCCTCGCCAAAGTAGTTCGGAGGGACATTTAAGCTCCTGGTTTTGTATGTAAAGGAAAAAGAAAAAGAGAAACAAAAGAATCCAAATAGGTCTAAGTGACAAAGCTTTTCCAACTGTGAGATGTAAACATATTTTTCATGGAAATATGCTTCATTTTAAGTAGCTAGTAAAGTGTAACATAGGTTTGTTTTAATCTGAAGGTTTCTTTTTGGAGGAAGGGGATAGTTTAGAAGAAAGTAGTGTCAGATCAATGTCTTGTTTAAAACACGTTATTTCTTGCCTGATCAGAGACAGATCTGGCCTGTATGAATGAAATCTAACGTGTCACCGTATTTTCTCACTCCAAGACAAAGGCCTACATTCTCCATTCAGAGAGACTTACCAATTACAGGTCTAAGACTACAATTACTGTGACAACTACAAACAATGTTGGGAAAAACGAGGCTCTGAAGAAAGTGAGAAGTGAAGTAAGCACCCAAGGCCAAAGTCGGCCTCAGAATCCAGACTGCTTGTCTTTCAAAGCTGGTGTCAAACACTCAGCTCCTACTGTGCGCCTGGGACAAGAACATTCATACAGGGATCGCTCAAGTTTCTTTTTAAACCTGAGTTTTCAAGGGTTCACCCTGGAGCCTGATCCACGTGACTGAGCACTAAGGCTGTTAATCATTTTCTTTGCTGCCTGAATGGAGGCCAGCAATTACTGCTCATGCATTATTTCCACAACCAAACTCCTGCCTTATGTCTGGAGCACATTACCAAATAAACTTTGATCAACACGAATTCTATCCCTTCCTTTACAAGAAAAATGCTATGAGTGGCTAGAAAGCATCACACTTTCAGGAATTTTCCCAAGTAACCTGACTAGTTTTCTTTTCTAATTACTCTTGCCCTCAACAGTCTGGTAGATGACATCTGAGATAGCACAGCATATTCTGTCCTTGACACAGTCTGACAGCACACAGAAATCTGGCACTTCATAATGAATTATTAATGTATGAGATGGGGACCAGCGAAAGGTGAAGTGCTAGTTGCCATGACACCAGTCAGTTCAAGCTAAGGCTCGCGATCTTTCACTTTGTCTCCAAGAGTCTTCAGCAGAACGTAAAGGACACATTTGAAGTGCATACCCAAACAGCTTAAGTGTAAATCCACGGCTGTGCCACCACTGGAGAATCTGAGCGGCGTGGCTCAGACAACTCACTGAACACCAGACTGCTCTCATTTCTCCCCTGTAGGGATGGGTTATGTGGACTGGGAGCTGGCACCTGATAAAGGGACCCCTAAAGGAAGTACAGAGTTGGTTGGTGCCAATGGTGGTTGGCAAGGTTGGCTAGATGCTTAACCTAAGTTAGAGAATTACACTCTGCCACCATGTCCTGTTACTCAAATGTCTAAGAAACAGAGGAGGATATCCAGTTCCTTATCAGGAAAACAGGATTGACGATCTTGGTTTCAAAGTCAGTAACCAATGTATGCTAATTTGTCTGTTCAGTGAAAGAATTTAGAGTTGAAATAGACCTAGGGGTTATCTTACCTTGAAAACTCTTAATAACAGCCCCTGGCTAAAAAGTTGTGGAGCGACACCTTTGATTACCCATGATAAACTTTTATGACCAGACTCCAATACCACGGTCTGCCACCAGCTGACGGGGATGCTGTGTGACTTAAAACAGAAGGAACAGGGACACTCACACGGACACGGACATTCCTACGGAACATAGTCAACAAGTCTAGTATCGCCATAGCTCCTCAGGGGTCCTCTTCAAAGAACCGGGCACTTAGAACAAGGCACTTTGAAAAATAACTGTAAAGGTCGTATTTATAATATAAACAAGAACTTCTTGAACAGAAGTGTGACTGGATATAGACATGACATGTTGTATCTCGAGAAATCTTTGAATGTTAAGTTTACACCAAGTTAACTTCCAACAATCCCAGCTATCCACATCGTTCCTGGTGCTCTACTGACAGACTGCAGCGCAGAGCCTGTGGCTGCAATGTCAAGACAAATTAGCCCAGAGTTAAACAAAAGGGAGAATGTGAAGAAGTGTGGTATCTGGCAAAGCCTGACTTTTAAAAGTGCGAGACTGATGATGACATTTTAAAGGTGCAGGTAAGATGCCCAGAATGTATTCTCCATATTTGCTAGCAAGTCCGAGTTAAT